ATGCGTTTCCTTGTCTGAACTCATCCGATTCTATCTTGCTTGACTACCTTTCTTAATCCTCAAGTCTTTTCTCCTGTCTCCAAGTAGCATGGGTTTAGTATTCCAAATGTTCCCCTGGCTGCTTATACTGCCTTTCTCTCCTGATAAAAGTGCTTTAAGCATCACAAAAGGTGCTTCACTTAGTGGAATAAAATGAGATGTTTGTGCTTGGAGAGGAAGCTCCGGAGCGCAGACTGTAAGGCAGGAAATTAAAATCTTGAGAGGAAACCTGAGATAGAACAATTTGGGATGGCACAGAAAAGTTGAGAAAATGCTGCAAATGGAATTAAACAGAAAGCCAAGCCAGCAGCCCTAAGAAATATAGCCTTCTGTGAGGTCACCCACATGATTTTTGTCCTGAACTTCTCTGCTAGGCTTGGGGACAGAAAATACTGAAGCACATCAGTGACTGGTCCCCGTGAGCCCCTTTATATAATGTTCAAGTGAAGGCTCCTCTGTGTCTTAAAGGTGAGAATGATACCAATGAAATCTGACTGTGGCTCACACTTATTCACTATCTTCTTTCATCTTTCCAATAAATAGTACCTGGATTCCACTGGGAATCTATGAGATCCCTGGGCAGTATCCAAGGAAGAAACACATAACCTATGCTAAATCAGTTCTTCCATCTGGAAATCATGTGCCGTAAGTCAGTCCAATCAGAGCATATCTTGATAATTCTACCAGAAATTCTAGGAAAAGGATTTCCTCTCTTGCTGTGAATGGTGTGGTATGGACATGTGAGGCCTATAGCTAAGCCTGTTGCCTGCAGATAAGGCCAACATATGGGAAGCAGAGCTGAGAGAACTGTGGGGAAATGGAGCTGGAGCTCTGATGGAACTGTGCCTGCAGCCCACCCTACCAGAGGACTTTATAAAGTTCCTGGTATGACAGCCAATGCATTCTGGTTTTTTGTTTTGTTTTTAATGTAAGCCAATTGGAATTAAGCTTTTAAAAAAAACTTATAACGAAAAATATCTTAAGTGAGATATTTATTGATCAAAAGTTTTGGTTATCAAAGTACTCTATCAGTCGATGACAGCTGAGCCTAACATCAACTCAACATGAAAAATCTTGTTGTCACCTCCATTTTATTCACTTCAATCCATGTCTTCTGACTCCCAGTTCTGAGTCTTTTTCTCACAGCATGACACTGTGTTGAAATGACATTCATCCCAGTGAATTCCAATAAAGGCAATGTGATACTTTGTTGCCTACCTCAGAGCAATTCCCCACCCCTACATCTTTTATAAATAAAACACACTTTTTTCTTTTTTAGCTTTCCTTTGCAGCTAAAGGTGGCCTCATGACTAAGTTCTGGCCAATTAAGCTAACATGAAATCTCTTAGAAACAAGCTTCAAGCTACTCCAGTGAAAGTGCACGCACTCTCGATCTCTCATTTCCTGCTGTCCCCACCCATCCTATTTTTGAATACTGTCATGATGCTAGAGAGCTATGGGAACATAAAGAACTAGGCTAGCTTGCCAAGAATGGCGAGAGGAAGAATGGAAAAGTCTGGTGTCTGATGAAACCATGGGGCAACTGAACCAACACAATTCTCTTCCTCCAGAATTCTGGTTATGTGAAAAACATTAAATGTAATTAAACCACAACGAATCAAGGTTTCCAGTATTTACAGCCAAAACATTCCTAACTCATAAATACTGGTGTCTGGCAAAATGAGCCAATTTTCCTTTGAAGAAGGTAGATGCGTTCAAATCAAAGCACACGAAACTATGAATTTGGTGAATCTTTTGACTCCCAAAATGGTGTTCTTCTCATGAGTATCTTATCTTCCTGGGGGCCTTCAAGCCTGCAGCAGTCTCTGTGATCAACATTGCACCCTTTTCTTTTCTAATAGGAGCTTTTAGGCTAAGTAATTATTAGAGTAGCTACTCAAACTGCACTATCATTAGGACAAGTTCGTGAGAATAATACTTCGCTGCTTCTTGAGGCACATGGATTTATATATTCATAGCCCATATTTTAAGGGTTCACAGTGCTCTTTTCTTTCATTAAGCTGCCTCATCTGCCTTTAAGGAAAGATAGGAAAACATCTGAGATTAAGAAAAGTATAGATTGATGTAAGATAGAGAGACTTGGTTCTCTGAACTAGGAACTTCTAATATCTTAACTGGTTATCTGTTCATGATGGCTACTTTAAGTGATATCCCATCTTTTACTGAGACAGACCCTTAGCTCACTGCTATGGCAAGTGATGCAGAGATATTCTTCATTGGTCTTAGGGCGTCTTTCTGGTCTTACCAACTTGCTTTAAGGCCCAGTCAGTGCCTTGAATCAAGTTGGTAAGACCAAAAAGAGGCTCTAAGGCCAGTGAGGAGATGTATCTGCTCCCCTAAATCTTCCTTATGTGAATGTAGATTTTAAAAATCATACTCTTATTGCAGCTCAGCCATTTGGTTAAGATCAAATGTCAAAATTATGATCTTGATCACTGAGCACCTACACCAAATAACCTGTTGGACAGAGGGCATCGTATTACGGTTTTTATGGGGAGAAACCAAGAACTCCATCAGGGCTGTTCATGGCAGGAAACCTAAAGGTACTACTGCATTGAGTCCATTAAGGTCTTTGGCAAGATTTCCTGTCATTTTCTGTAGTTTCAGCTGCCCGTCTATGCTCAGCAGTAAAATAGGAACACCACTATATCAGAAGGTATGGCTAGAAGTGGATGCCATGGGTTGGTAGCATGGAAAAGTCTGTCTCCTAAACCAATATATACAGACATTTTCCAGTATGGTCCAACCAGAGTCCTAGAAGTAATCACAAATACATAGCCAATTAATGCCGTGAGTGGCTTTGTTACAGACACCAAAAGCCTGGTTTTATCTTAGAGGGAATAAAAATCTCATTAGAATGACGATCCATTGCCTACATTTCTTTCTGACATTCATCCTTCTGGGTGACTTAAGAATCCTTGGAACATATAGAAATGGACAAAAACATTTTAGGAGAATGGTGACAGTGCTGGGAGTCATTGACCAATTCATATTGGCTTGTTGCACCTAAAGTGCCTCATTCTTGAACAGAAATATCACATGATTCTAAACTTTTTTCACTCTCATTATTATTGATGTAAAATAACACATAGCTCATCCCCAAAAGTCCTCACCCCAAAATGTGGGACTGTAACAATAGATAGAGAGGCAGATGGTATTAGCAGAAATAGCCTGTATAATGCATACGTTACAGAGAAGATTTATTTCATCATTTAGATATCAAATGTTAAAACATTTAGCATGTGTTGTGTGCCAGGTAGTATGTTTAGGCTACAGTAAACGAAGAACAAAGACCTAGTGTCTGACTTCAAGGTTGACTCAGACTTATTGGGTTGCCAGAAAAATCAAGATAATTATAAGACCCTTCACCCTCCCAATTAGGATTCTCCTAACTGGGAAGAATAAATGCATATTTTTTCCCTCAAGTATTCCCTTAGCCTTTAGATCTATCCAGCCTAGCTGTTTTCCTTCTTTTCCTTTTATTTCTCTATTTTCTTTTTTCTTTATGTCTCCCCCTTGAGATCATAAGTCTAATTTTAGTTCCCAGCCATTCTTTAACATAGGCATTAGCATAGGCAGTCTATATACAAGGTTTTTGCTCTCCCGTGATATGTCACACTTAATTAACTGTCACTTTTACTATCAATATTAACTGAGATATTAATTTGATGAATCTTAATTTCTCTTAATCATAGCATCATTTTTATCCTTCATTGGATACCTCTTTAAAATGACACACAGTGCAGAGGAGAAATATTAATAGTATATGCAGGTTTTTTTTTTTTTTTTTTTTTTTTTTTTTTCTGAGATGGAGTTTCACTCTTGTTGCCCAGTCTGGAGTGCAATGGTGCAATCTCGGCTCACCTCAACCTCTGCCTCCCGGGTTCAGGCAATTCTCCTGCCTCAGCCTCTTAAGTAGCTGGGATTACAGGCATGCACCACCACACCCAACTAATTTTGTATTTTTAGTAGAGACAGAGTTTCCCCATGTTGGTCAGGCTGGTTTCAAACTTCCAACCTCAGGTGATCCACCCGCCTCGGCCTCCCAAAGTGCTGGGATTACAGGCGTGAGCTACCGTGCCCAGCCTCAGGTTTATTATTTATTTATTTTCATCTCTTAAGTAATTGCATATTTTCCTGGTAAGAATATCTGTTTTTTGAACAGATGTAGTCACCCTGATTTTCTTGTTAGCAAATGGGGGTTTTTCTTGACCACCACCTGACTCTGTTTTGCACTTCCAAATGACAATACTTTTAAATTTAATAAATGTTACTCCCCAAAAGAATTCTCCAGGATCTTGGCACTATCTGTCTGGCAAAGGCTCTGTACTATTAATGGACACATGGAAAACATAAATTTGAAGATTTTGTCTGTTCCTTTGGTAGCAGAGTCTACAGAGAGCTGGTACCCAGGAAGAAAGAGCAAAGAGGGAGGGTAACCGAGCCATCCAAGGAAGTCTGATCTGTTTGCTGGCCATTCTTTCTATCTTTCCCTAGGTTCACTAATTTTTTTTCTATAATTCCTTTTTTCCCCTGGCCTCACATCCCTCCTGCACAACACCCTTATATACATTGAGCACTGGTAAAGATGCCTTCTGGACTGCCTCACCTGGCCCACCATGTCATTGAGATGCATCTGACACAGAGAATAAACTTGAGGCCATATTAGGAAGAGTCCCATCACTTAGATCTAGTCACCTGAACATTGGAGACCCATGAACAGAATCATTCTCAGCTCCCTGGTTCTGATGTGGGTAAGGGACGAGATGGCGGCTGTTTTCCAGAGCTTTGGCTCTCTCATTAAAGGGAGAATGAGAGCTCTCCTTCCTTCCTCAGTTCCTGACTATTCAGGGAATCTTTTGAACCCTGAAGGCTGGGAACTCAGGGAAGACAAATACAAGCACAGTCATAGAGGCAGCATGTGCCAGAAGTCTACTCACCTCCAGGTATACCACCCAGGGCATCACCAAGGTGGCCACCAGCAAGTCTGCCACAGCCAGGCTCACTACTAGGTAGTTGGTGGTAGTCTGCAGGGCCCGCTCCTTCAGCACAGCCGTGCACACCAGGCCATTGCCGAAGACGATGGCCAGGATGAGTGTGCAGTAGGAGAGGGCATAGTAGGCATGTGGGCGAACCTGGCTGGCACCTGTGGAGTTTTCCTCCCCACAGGTGTAGTTCAGGTGGCCACTCAGCTGACTCAGAGGTGCCATAGCCCAGAGGGAGGTGCGTGATGCCAAGGGCCTTCCTGTGAGGAGACAGAAAACAATATTAATAAAATCAGACTCTTTGGGGCTTGGTTGCTTAGTTACATGTTTTGATTTACTGCATTAACAAATATTTATGGAGCATTTTCTACAAGGTAGGGACCGTTGTGAGAGTTGGAGATACAGCAATGAACAAAGCAGATAAAAATTGCTCCCCTTTGAAGCTCCCATTCTGGAGGAGAAGACAGACAATAAACAAGATAAATAAAAGATGTGGTATGTTCAATAATGATATGTATATTGGACACAAATCAGGGAGGTGGGTAAGTAGTGGGTGAAGATTGTGTGTATGTGGGTGAATAAGTCTGAATATAATCAGGAACTCCTCATGGAGAAATCAGCAATTGAGTCAGGACCTGCAGGAGATCAGGAAGCAGACCATGCAGATAGCTGATAAGATAGCAGTACAAGCAGTGAGAACAGCAGGTACCAGCAGGAAGAGCTAGCACATAGAAGGCATAGGAGGGAGGCCAGTGAGGCTGGAGCCAAGTGAGGCAGGAGTAGAATAGTGGAGGTGGCGTGGTAGAGAGGTTGTGCAGTGCCATGGAAAGTACCATGCTTGAACTCTGAATAGGACGGGAAGCTGTTGCAGGATTACAATCCCAGCTCTGATGCTTCCTAACTCTGGGACCTTCTGCTTATTACTTTACCTCTCTGAGCTCCAGATTCTTCCCGTGTAAAATGCGGGAATGATGAAACCCACCTAACTTAGTCCATTTTGGGTAGCTATAACAGAACACCTGAGTCTGGGTAATTTACAAAGGTCAGAAATGTATCCTCTCACAGTTCTGAAGTCTAGAGGAAGACATAAGGCCTGTGACTTACAGTGTAACCCTGAAACCCAAGCAAAAGTGACTCTTGCCCCAGGCTCTGTGCTATAAGGAGCCCACTCTGGTCTTCTGCTATCGTCTGAAGTTTGTGTCTCCCTAAACTCATATGTAGAAATCCTAACTCCGAATATGATGGTATTAGGAGGTGGGGGCCTTTGAGCAGTGATTAGGTTATGAGGACAGAGCCCTCATGAATGGGATGAGTGCTCTTATAAAAGAGACCCAGAGAGCTAGCTAGTCTCTTTCACCAGGCGAGGACATAGAGAAAGACAGCCATCTACGAACCAGAAAGCAGGTCCTCACCAAACACTGAAACTTCTGGTGCCTTGATCTTGGACTTCCCAGACTTCAGAACTGTGAAAAACAAATATCTGTTGTTTATAAGCTACCCAGTTTATGGCATTTTGTGATAGCAGCCCACAAGGACTAAGGCACCCTCTACTGTTATTCCACTACGCCTCTACAGGATTGATGCTGTAACCTCCCACAGTGCCAAGGAGAAGGTTTGCTAAGTTTATACCCTTGTCTAGACCACACTCAGAATTCTCTGCCAAACTGCTCAGAGCCTGTTTCCAGGGCGTCATGGGCCTCACTCTAAATCTGTCACCCTGAGGGTAGACTATGCCATAAATGTGGAGGGTCCCTGGGGCCAAGTGGGTAGCTTTCAGTTACAGTTCAAACAAATAGATCCTATGTAGCCTGAGGTGTGAAGAGAAGAGGACATGGTCCCTGAAGCAGGTTAGGCGTGGGGGCCCAGCTTCTCCTTCATGGTCACATTTTGTGGAATGCTGAAGGGTCCTGTAATCTTCCATTCAAACCTGGCCTTTCCACATTGTTACGAAGTGTATTCATCAAGGTGGGAAGATTAAACATTTCACTCAGTGGCTTGTTGGTTACAACTTTAAAATATTTAAACATGGTACATACGGACCTTTATGGGAACTCTCTCTCCAGGCCCGGGCAGAAGTAGAGGCTGGCTTGGTGGGTAGAATTGGCCCTCAAGCCACGTATCTATAGCTTGATTAGGAGATGGGCCTAATCATGGCTGTCATTTTGTACCTCACTTTGAAATGTTTCAGCCTGAAATGTGAAAGAGTTAAAATGAACAAATGATTGGAAAAGGGTGACCAACTTGGAATGAATTTAGAGAATTGTTTAAAAAAATTGTCCTTTATCTTGGCACACTGTTTGCACTCAATGTATTTTAAAACATAATAATAATTCTTGATAATAATTATAATTTTCTCATTATTCAGAGGAGGGCGGCTGCTACCCTGGAGATAGCAATGCAGCTGCCAAGAGCTTTTGAAAAAATACAATGTTTTCTGATTGTTCAAGGATATTTCCACTTTTAAGGCAGGCTCGGGCCCAAATGTCTTCCCTTTCACAGTTGGGCCACTTTGGAATACAGTGGCCAGAATCCCTCTTTTCTGGGGTCTGAAGCTAATGTCTTAGCTTCACCTTACCTGCCACATAAGAGAGAGGCATAAAACCTTTGAATATTTGTTACCCTTTTGCCGGACTTTTTGCCTACCAAGAGATTTGACAGCTACCTAAAAATAGTATAGCTGAATGCCAGCAGCTAATTATATGAAGGGAAACCCTCAACTCTGAAAATAAATTCTGAGCCTGATGTTGGACTCTCAGTTGCATGGATTTCTGATTTCTAATTTATTTTTTTCCACATCTGATCTTAGAGCCTTTATAACAGCAGGTGGGTTAAACCGTGATTGTCCAGGTAGTTTCGGAAGAGCTGTGGATGTGGGAGATGAAAGCAAAGATGACTGAGATGCTAGATTACTCTCTGCCTCTCAGCTAATTATTTCACCTTTCTTCCTGCTTAGGTTTTTTTTTTTTTTTTTTTTTTTTTTCCCAAACAAGAGTTGCTTATATAACACAGAACTGAGCTGGGCTTTCTTCTTTCTTTTCCCCTCCATTAGATATGCTAACAGATGGGAAACTGGTCTCAGATAAGAAGAAGCAAACAGCCTAGAGAAGTCATTAACTCAGTCACTCTCTAAGTAATTTACAATGATAGGCTGGTTTTCTCATCAGCAAAATGGGGATAATCCTATCAATTCCTTAGGGTTATTATGAAGATCAAATGAAATGATATACATGAAATTTGGCACTACTGACAATTTGGGCTGAAAAATTCTTTGTTGAGTAGGTCGTCCTGTGCATTGTGGGATGTTTAACCGCATCCTGACATCTGTGCACTAGATGCCAGTAGCACACCCCTCCCCACAAATTGAGACAATCAAAAATGCTTCTAGATGTTGCCAAATGTCCCAGGGTGGGGGGTGGGGGGCAAAATTGCTCTCCCCATTGAGAATCATCACTCTAGCATAATGTCTGGCACAGAGCACCAGAAATATCGTCACTTTCATTGTTAAGGGAAAGGTGGGAATAGGTGAAGAGTTAAATAAGCTGTGATTATAGAGTATCTCGTGAACCTGGAAATTATGACATTCATGGTAACCTCAGCAAATGGTGGAGAGGAGGTAAAAGAGTAGAGGAGGCAGACAACTAGAATATTACTCCTTACTTCATTCTTTTAAGATTCATTACATATAACACTACTTACACATTTTAATGAGCTTTTAAATTCCTTACAAAGTATTGATTTATCTTGTTCTTTATAGTGTGTTCTGCCATCTTTCAGAGTGAGTGCATAACCTATTTAAAAAGTCAGAGGAACAGAGAGTGGTCAGGTCCTCATCAGTTATGATTTTGTCCTGCTTTGCTGTTGTTCAGTTTCTCAGTGCTGAATAAGTCTTCTGGAAACATTTGTGGGGTGCCTCCTTAGCACCTCATTAAGACTTACAGAGTTTTAATTATTTGTTCTCTTTCTGTAAGAGAACAAATGAAGATAAAGACAACTACATCTGGGCTACTAGTGTGTGTCAGATACAAGTACTTTATGTGCATTTTAATAGTTATAGGAGCCCTAAAGGTGGATACTGACATATTTCTTTTATGGATTAAAAAAACTGAGACAAAGTGAGACAGAGAGATTCAATTACTTTCTCAAGATTACACCATGTGTCAGGAACTCATCTGAACCAAGCTTTATCTCAGGCATTCTTAAATACCAAACTCACAATTATCTAATGTGTCTATGCTAGGTATGGAAGTTGATGTCAGTTATTCCCAGCTGGACTTAGGGGCTCATTCCTGTAGTCCCAGTACCTTGGGAGGCTGAGGTGGAAGGATCACTTGAGGCCAGGAGTTTGAGACCATCCTGGGCAACATAGTGAAACTCCATCTTTAAAAAAATAAATTAAAAGAAAATAATTTTTCTAATGTATTCCCAGCTACTCGAGAAGCTGAGGCAGGAAGATTGCTTGAGTCCAGGAGTTAGAAGCTGCAGTATAATTGTACTAGCCCAGACTGGGTGACAGCACAAGATCCTGTCTCAAAGTTAAAAAAAAAAAACCCACAAAACTTTCATTCCCAAGTTGAGATGGGTTTCACTCAACCAAGAACAAAACACTTAAGTAGCAGGGTTCCATGACCACATCTTCACTCATTTCACAGGTCTTTGGCTATTGCCATCTCTAATCTTTTACTCAGACACCTCCTGACTACCAGTCACCAGAGCTTTTCTGATCTGGGCTATAATTCGGACTTGCTATATTGCCTGATAAAATTAATAATTATAGCTAAAATTTATAAGCATTATCATCAACCCCACAACAGCCTGATGAAGAAGGTATGCACTAAAGTCATACCAATTTTTCTAGAAAAAACAGGTGAGTCACAGAGAGGTTGAGTATCTCGGTGAGGCCACAAACCAGTAAATGATGGAGTTGATTCAACCCAAGCTTTATCTGATTGCAGAGTTCATGTTCTTAACTATGCCACTTTTGGGGTGAGACAGACAAATGTGAAATGGGTACTAATTTTAAAATCTCATTTGTTCAGGGTATCTTATGCATATCACCTGACTCGGTTTGATGAAGTAATGCAGGTGCACACTGCTCATAGAGCCAGTGGGAGTTACATTGTTATTATTATTAGAGATAGTCTTTAGCATTTCTATGCTACTTTCTTCTTGCAAATTGCTGCCTATTTTCCTAGAAAAGATTCACAAATGCATTGCAATACATAGCATGTTTATGTATTTGGGCACATTTACACTGTTGGTAAATGTACAGAGAAAAACTATTGCTGGTTACTTAGGTCCAGTAGCTAAGATAATAGTTTTTCCCCCTCAATAAACCTGTCTAGTGAAGCATAGCCTACTCACTTTCTATCAAAACCTCTAAGGACTGAGCATCCCACCATTCTAATCAGAGATAAAATGGGGAACTCAGGAAATAAATCAATCAATAAGCAAATATTAATTGATGACAAACTTCAATGCATTAGAAATTGAATCTGCTATTGAGTAGAAACTGGTATTTGCTTTAAAGCATATTCCATAATAAACAGCCTTCTGTATGGATGCTTTAATATTGGACACCCATTTGGATACTGTCAGTATTTTCCTTGCTCAATACCCTTGCTCACTGCTAGCCATACATACCCTTGAAAATATTCAACTATAAATAAATAAGTGCCTGAGTAAGAATCTTTCTCACATTGTCTTTACTTCTCTTTGACTATAAGAGATTCCAGTGCCATGTCAAGTAGTGGGTCTTCACTCTCACCTAAGGACAGACATTTTACAGATATTTTAGTATCAGCAAGCAAAGGGCTTCACCTATAAAGTGAAACAGGCATGCACAATGAGTTTAGATTCCAAGTTTCACTTTGCTATTGCTGCATTATTATTCATGCATGCATTTTGATGGTATTCAATTAAACTAAATGTATGAACTGGAACAAACACCTAATTGCAATGACTTCTGTTGCCCCAGTAAGCTACAGCAAGTAATGGAAGTCTCACAATTAAATAACAACAATACCCTAAAAATCATATATCATCATCAAAGGAAACATACACAATCATCATCTCAAGTACTACATATCTCTGCTGGGAATAATTGGATTCTGACTTAGAAACAGCCTGTCTTTAAATAGACCATTGAAAATAGTGCCTCTCCAAACCTTCAGCTCTGAATTGCCAGGGTGCTGAATTGAGGAGTTTAAAATAACAGACCCTTACAATTAAGTAAAATCCTTAAGAGGAATACAATCAACTTCCATACAAATCCTGGAAATAACAGCTTTTTATTTCCCATCTTTTAATTCTTCCTTGATATAGCTTCTAGAGCCCACAAGGATACAATTTTGGGGAATAAAAGAAAAGAAAAAGGAATAGGAAAGATTTCTACTGTCCAACCACTTATAAGAAAAACAAAACCATTTCCCCAAGGCTTTGGTTTTTAAATAAGAGTGGGTATTGAGTTTTAATGCATATTTTTAGAGATCCACAGAACCCCAAGCTGATTAAATAACATTGAGGAAAATACTATGTACTAAATTAGAAACGAAAAGAAAAATACTTACCCTAAAATTTTCTTCTGATCTCCGGAGACCGAGGAGTTTACCAGTTCAGCTCCTGCAGCCATTTACTGACAGCAGGCATACCCAAGCAAAGCAAACTTTGCTTTTCTCAGGACTCAGAAACTATGCAAACGAATAGAAAGAAATCACCCATTTTTGCCTCCAAGGTGAAATTACTTGAGTGCTGCTTTTCCAGCTTTCCTATTAGACCTTAGAGCATGTTTCATAGCTGCTTTCGAATGCATCGATTTTCTGTAGAGGATTTGGGAGGGACCCTAAACTGAGCATTGGTTGGGTCAGCCGTTCAGAGGTTCTGTCCTTGGTGCTGAAAGAGAGATGGAGTAGGCATAAGCAGGATCAGTTTTCTCTCTCGCTCTCCTCTTTTCCTCTTTGTCGCTATCTGCTCTGGTACTGTGCTTTTTAGTACATGTGTATTTTCCCCTCAGTGCTCTTTTTAATATTAGTTTTTCCACTCTTTTTACCTTTATGCTTCAATTTCTCTTGAATAACTCTCACCGTCCTCAGTTTAATTGCCTTTCCAGATTTTGGTGGGTGTAAAGATGATTAGTTCAGAAGAAGGAACAGATCATCAAATTGATACCACAATTGGTTAATGGAAATCAGTACAATTTAAAACACAATTGACAGGATAATTGAATTTGGAGGTGTAAGCCTGTCTGGGAAAAGAAGGTTAAAGGAAACATATTACAAAGGTAGCAAAATTGAGGCATGGCGTATAACTGGTAATAAAGATGAAATAAGCTTAATACTGTAAGACATGTTAAATGTTTACGTAGTAGCACTTCTTGTTTTCAGAGAACTTTACAAATATTTGCCAGTTCATTCTTACTGATTCTCTATGATATATATATATACCGTTTTAAAAATTGATTTAGAACAAGCTAAAGTGAGATGCAACCAAGGGCAGTATCAGTGAAAGTCAGTAGTAGAACATAAACAATCCTAATTTATGGTCACCTGTTCATCTTACATTTTACTGTGAAATCCTAATCATTTCCTGTTCTCTCTCTCTTTCTTTTTTCTCCTTCTTTTAGGCAATGTGGTAATTTTTCCGCTATTTTCTCTGCCAACAGTGGATGTGCTTGGACTGCAGTGCAGTCATGGGGAAGCTATTTCTCATTTGACTGTGATGGAGACCTCTGCTGGCTGAGAAAGAAAGCAGCAGCATCAACAAGTTCTAAATACTGCTATTGATCACAACCATCATTTATTGAGCATATACTTTTAGCCAGTCATTTTGATGCGTTGCCCCTTTTAATCCTTTCAACAACCCTACAAGGTAGGTACTATTTTTACCATCCTTATTTTATGGATAGGAAAATTAAAGCGTAGAGAGGTTAGTGTAATGTCTGAAAGTTGCACAGCTAACAAGTGGCAGACCCAGGATTTGGATCTAAACATCCTAATTCTCTTAAACACTATGGTATAGTCTTCCAAAGGTAGAAAATTTGAACTTCCCAGAAGACTGATAATATGTCAGAGAGAATAATAATTATAATGACAATAATATTAATACATTTGTATATAGTTATATTTAGAAAACATTTAGATGATTTAGAAATCATTTTGTAAATTATGTTCTTATATGCATTTTTTTTTTTTTTGAGACGGAGTTTCGCTCTTGTTACCCAGGCTGGAGTGCAATGGCGCAATCTTGGCTCACCTCAACCTCCGCCTCCGGGGTTCAGGCAATTCTTCTGCCTCAGCTTCCTGAGTAGCTGGGATTACAGGCACACGCCACAATGCCCAGCTAATTTTTTGTGTTTTTAGTAGAGATGGGGTTTCACCATGTTGACCAGGATGGTCTCGATCTCTTGACCTCGTGATCCACCCGCCTCAGCCTCCCAAAGTGCTGGGATTACAGGCTTCAGCCACCGCGCCCGGCCCTTATTTGCATCTTACATCAATTTTCATGATGCCTATTTTTACAGAGGCTGTTATGGGATAATTGGTGTCCTTCCAAAATTGATATGTTGAAACCCTATCCTTAAAACATCACTGTATTTGGATGTAAGATCTTTAAAGTATGAGTTAAGTAAAAATGGGGCCTGTAGGGCATGCCCAAATCCAGTATGGCTGGCTTCCTTGTAAGAAAAAGAAGAGACACCAGGAATGTGCACACAGAGGAAGGGACACAGGAAAATGGCATCTGTCTGCAAGCCAAGGAGACAGGTCTTGCAGGAGAAACCAAACCTGCCAACCTGTCGATTTTGGACTTCTACCCTTCAAAACTGTGCAAAAATAAATTTCTCTTGTTTAATCCACCTAGCATGTGGCATTTTGTTATGGTATTCCTAGCAAACTAATACAGAGGCTTAGAGAGATTATATGTCATATCCAAGGTTGCCCATAATTTACTGGGCATAAATGTATTAGTTATATGGCATAAATATATTGAGTATGCCCTGAGACTAGAACTCCTGGGTTGAATGTGAACCCCCAGGCTTTTCTTCCCTCAGAAAAGGGGACCAAAAGAATATGCACTGCTAAAGATTGGCTTGTCTGACATATAAAAGCAGGGATTAATGTCAGGCTGGTGTGGGAGCAGAAGGAAGCAGAGGCCTTCTAAGGAGTTAACCTCATATCGCTCACTTTCAGCAACAAGTTTTTACCTTTCAGTATCCTGTGTTTATTTTCTTTAACACTTGAAGATTTTGTGCCTAATGATTATGCTATCTTGATAATGCATGGATGTAGTAGGAAGAAACCTATTTGTAGACTTTCTGTATTGAGAACACATATCCTATCTTCCCAGGGCAGTTATAAATGCTGGCAAGATACTCCTCAGCATGTTTTTAGTGCCTTTCTTTGGCAAAATTAAAAGGAAGATAAAGATGGATATAGACTCTTACTCTAATTCTATGTAGGAACAAGAGACAGGAAAATGAACTAGCATGCCTAAAATCACACATCTAGGCAGTCGGCTCTGTCCCAACTCAGCTCTCTCTGGTAGACTCCTTGACCCCCATGGTGAATGGGGAAAGATTGGTGTGGAAATAGAAGAGAAGCCAGGTAAATGAGGTGATCCTTTCTCTCTGGACTTCACTATAGGTGAATTAGCAATTGCTTCTTTTATGTGACACTTTCCATTCATACAACACCAAGTAGTTTTATTCTTTTAAGTAAATGGAACCGTTATTCATGACTGGCATTGAGATATGCCTTCTGGGAAGAACTCCAGGATGCCTACAGAACAGATACGCCTGGGTAGAAATCAAGAAAAATGTAGGTCATTTTCTTCGCCTTCCTTCCAGAAACTCCATCTCAATAGCATGGCTGGAACATTCTCATGTACTAGCCAATGGCTGGCCCTTCATCAGGAAAGTCTTTATGTTTTGAACTTGAAGTGGGAAGTTAGAGAAAGAGTGGAGAGATATTGAGCTTCTGATATGTATGGTTACTCAGGGATTTTGTTTAAAAGGAAATTGATGTAAAGTTTGTGGTGGGAATATTCTCTTCTTGTCTTTGAAATGCTGCTCCATGGAATGACCTTGCCTTGAGCACCGACCTTTGAGTACGACATGAGTTTCTCACACCACTTCAAACCCCCACTGAGCTCCCTCTCACCAGAACAGTATGGAGACCAAATGAAGCAGTGTGGGGAGCCAATTTGCAGGACCTGTATGAATAGATGAACATTTGTTTCTATGTCTTATTATAACTCGCATTTCTTACTGTGACCTGGAAGATTTGATTAACATGATGATCTTAAATTGCATGGATACTGATCAGGTCTGAAGATTATCCTCTTAGTATGTTTTTCACTCAAATCAGACCTCAAGTGGTAAAAGTGTAAATGTAATTTGGCAAATGCAGTGAGTGCTCCAGCAGTATGGTTATTTCTTCTCAACCTTAGCCCCCATTCCTCTCCAATGAGATCTGGTAAGATGAGGACCATCTGAGATAGTCTTAGGGTTTACATTTGAATTCATTCTGCTGCTATAATAAATTATTGAAAGAAAAATAGTTCAATTCATTTATTATTGTCTAATACTGAGCATCACTTTCTTTCTTTCTACCAGAGAATGGCAGCAAATAACAGAAGGAGGTTTCTCATTCAATCAGATTTGTACCTAGTCACCCATTATTGGTCGCAGAGTAATTGTAAGGAAAGAAATAAATGATATTTGTTTTTATAGCTGCATCTATCCTTCTTGGTGCTTGAATTTTACCTCCCTTTTCTACTTCCATTTTAACTTTTTAAACTATTTTTCTCCTGTTTTTTCCTACCCTTCATCATTGTCTATTTTTTTAGGGGGGTCTCACTCTTTCACCCACGCTGGAGTATAGTGGTATAATCATGCCTCACTGAAGCCTCGACCTCCTGGGCTCAGGCAATCCTCCCCACCTCAGCCTCATGAGTAGCTGGGACTGTAGACATGTGCTACCACACCTGCCCTTATCTGATCTTTTATTATTCTAACTTTTCCTCAATTTCTTCCATCTCTTCTATATTTCTTTTCTTATTTCCCAAAATACATAACTAGAAATGAGGATCAGTTAGAATTAGAGAATTTTGAATTTTAATTAACTTATCACTTGTTCGAAAAGGACATGGGGTTGGTAGATATGGCAGATTATATTTCCCAAAGATGATGATGCTGATATACCCCATTCCTCATGTTCTTCTAGAATCTCACCATTCCACGCTCAAGAGGTGGAGCCTTTCTTATGTCTCTCTTCTTGAATCTGGTAGGCCTCCATAACTGTGTCTACTAAGAGTGTGGTAGAAGTGATGTTATGTGACTTTTGAGGCCAGCTCATAAAAATGCCATATATTTCCACTTTGTTCTCTTGGGACACTTGCTCTTGGAGTTCAGTCATCATGCTATGAGAAAGCTCAGGCAACCCACAGAGATGCCATGTGGTGAAGAACTGAGATCATTGTCCTGACTAAGCTCACAGCTAAAAGCTAGTATCAACTAGCCAGCCATGAGTGAGTCATTTTGGAAGCAACTCCTCCAGTCCCTTATTGAACCATCTCAGCTGATGCCATGTGGAATAGAGATAAGCTATCTCCGCAAAGCTTTGCTTGAATTTACATTCATGGGCAAAACAAATGTTTGATGTTGTCTTAAGCCAATAATTTTGTTATGTAGCAATAGGTAATAGATAATCTGAGACTTATTTTCTCTAGAACATGGCACATTTAGTGTTCAGAAGGAGCACATCTCAAATCCTATTGAGTCCCATCTCATTCTAGGGAAATCACTATTTAATTATTTGGTGTGTTTGTTTGAAACTAGATGCTATCTATTTCACCTTTGCGAAATTTATAAAACCCTTCTCCTCAAAATATGGGCCAAGGACCAGGACCGGGAGCACGAACTTCACTTTGGAAATTTTTAGAAATGGAGAATCTTGGCCACCACCCTGG